AGTAAAGGAAACTGAAGGAGAAGTCCAGTGCTGTAGACTGGGATAACAGAGATAACAGGGGAGTGGCATGTCTACAATCTAATCCAGAGCTCTTACTTGGCACTCTTCATACTTGTCAGAGGATTGCAGGATTCCTATGGGTGGGAGTCTATGAGGCGCACAGTCTTGATCAGATTTGGCTCATGAGCTGGGATGAGCTCCTGAGGTAGGTATTGGGAAATACAACTATAGGAGCAAAAGAAGACCAGGGGAGGGAAAATGGAGCAGGGACCAAGCATTATGACCATCTCTAAACCTTAGATCCATTTATTACCCAGAATTGAAGCTGCTCTTGAAACCATTACTATATATATATATATATATATATATATATATATATATATATATATTACAGCTTTAGTTAACACTTGCATTTATTACAAAATAGCATCCTTTGGGTAGCCAAACTTGCTTAACAGCTGCCAAAATTCAGGCCTGCTAATGGAAATAAAACAAAAATTAAATTGCCTAGCTAGAGACTTAGCCACTCTTTTTGGCAAGACAATTTTACACTTTTCATTGTGTTTATAGCTTTTCTCTACAGACAATTTTCTTTATGGAAATTATTTTTCTTAAGAATGTATTCTTTTCCTCTATGAGACTTTAATATTATGTTGACCACAGTTGTCTTTCCTTCTTGATATCCTGTCTAACCTTTACCTGCTCTTCTATTTACAAATGATATACTCTCTACAGAGAAAGTATTCCTTTGAAGAGTGCTATGGACTGAATTGTGTCCCCCAAATTCATATGATGACATCCTAACCCCTAATGTGATGCTATTTAGAGATGAGGCCTTTTGGATTTAAGTGGGTTTAGATGAGGTGATGAGGATGAGGCCTTCATGATGAAATTAGTGCCCTTTAAAGAAGAGAAAGAGGGAGAGAGAGATTGCATGCATTGAGTCAAGGCCATATGAGCACACAGTAAGAAGGCAGCTGGCCATTTGAAAGCCAGGAAGTGAAGTCTCACGGAAACTGACCATACTAGCACCCTGATCTCAGACTTCCAGCCTCCGGAACTATGAGAAAACAAATTTCTGTTGTTTAAGCCAGTCTATGAGATGTTGTTATGTCAGCCCAAGCTAAGACAAAGAGTCTTAAAGATGTGATTTTATTAAACATTACTCAAGATTATTAATATTAAATATAATAAAGCTTCTCAGAAAAGTTTTGTGATTCTTGTACTTCCATTTTTTTTTCCATCTATAAAATACTTAAAATCATCTTTCCAGAAATGTATAAACCAGTGTCTTGACTCTTTAGCTCTATTCATGTAACAATGTAGAGGAAAGGTTGCTAAGTGACAGCTTCCCGAAAACCTGATGTAGCTGCATTTTGATTGGCTTTCTCCCAGAATCCTTCCTTTCCCTTCCCTTGACTGCTGACTTCACTGGGGAAGAGGTTATTTTCCTGGTCTTAGTAAAATACGTTGTTCTGGTCCCCTGGCTCTGGATGGATGCTGTCACAATGTCTCAGTTTGTATTCTTCCTGTTCTACCTGACCATTTACTTTTTCTTAATTAACATCTTTGCTCCAGGTAGTTTACTTTAAGGATAATATTGAAAAAGAAAGAGTTTGGTAATGCCTCAGGCCTTACCCTATACCAACTAGAAAATCACCACACTAGGTTTATCGTTACAGTTAAACACAAAATATTTGGAAGAAGAAAATGTTTACCTTTTTTATTTTGAAAAGTTTTTGCACATACCATATTTCCCCATCTATAAGACACACCCTTTTTCGAAAAATTTGGGGTCTAAAAACTGGGTGCGTCTTATACAGTGGTTGTATGAGCACAAAAACAAACCACAGTATAAGACACACCCAGTTTTTAGACGCCAAATTTTTCGAAAAAGGGTGCGTCTTATACATGGGGAAATACGGTACCTTAATCTCATAATTTTGCATTTTATATTTAACGACTTATCACTTATCATATCATCTTGGGCAAGTCAATTAACCTCCTTGAGACCATCATTCCTCAGATGAAAAATAGTAATAGCTGCTCTATTACTTCACAGGGTGTTGTTATGATCAGATGGAATAACAGAAACCAGAGTGTATACAAATGTTTGTTACCTTGTTAGTTGGGAAACATCTACCTGTATTTAACTTAGCCGGATTGGCCACATAGTAGATACACTGCACCAAAGTAGAGTGCTAGATTAATCTTTGGAGTTTATTTGTATTTGGGGGGTATTTCTTGATCAATTTGTACAAAGCAAGTTTGGTTTAGGAAAGTATTTTCATAGTATGAACAAGGGATAGGGTGAGAAAATGATTATAGCACAAATGTATGTGTTCGTACTCTCATAATCTTCAATGGTACATTGGAAACTTGCACTTACCATATTCCTCTTTTAACAAATGCGTTCTTTTCATGTCCTGTAAGTGCTTTGTGTGAGAGAGAAAGGTAGGATATTTTGTGGAAAGTAAAGCTGGCCATTTCCCCTTTTCTGTAAAGCAGTAAGACTTCAAGCGAGAGAAAGAAGGGGATAGTTTTCCTGCTTACAACTCTAATTGAAGGTCTTCCTTTGCTCTCTCCACTTTGTGTGTGTGTGCATGCGTGTTGATGAGGCTGGGCAGCCAAGGTGAGTGTGCAGAGCAGTGAGAAGAGAAATAGTAACAGAAGTAAAGAATCAAAAGATGTAAGGGAGATATGGGAACACCTACACTACCTCAGATGTGAAATCGAAGGCACCCAGAAATTTTGCTTTCTTTTTTTCTCCCCTCAAATTCCCACTTGATAAATTCTGTGTTTTCCTAAGAAATTCATGATAGAGCCTTACACTGAAATCATTTTGAAGTAACTTTCCCCCCTCATTTTAGTAGAAATATATGGGGAAAGCTTGTTGCTCTTTATGCTTTTTTTTATTTTTTTAGTAGTAATCATTACAGTTGTTGCATACCTAAATGGTAGAACAAATATTTACTTGTATCTATATAAATTCAACAGAATGAAGTTCCGGGTAATAAAAAATGTGACACTGCTTTGGAAAACATGAAAAATATTAATAGAATATAAATATCTGAAGAGTGGCAGAGCTAGGAAACGTGGGGTGACACAAAAGCTTAACAGTAATTGGTAAATAATAAAGCAGATGAAAAATTAGGATCTGTCTGCTTATGTTGAGACATGCTACAAAACAAAGTTTTGGTTGAAATGACTTGTAGTTTGGTTTTCCTTCATTGAGGTATGCTATTTTGATATTGCCAATTTTTTCTTACAAGTTAATAGAATGGTATGAAAATTTCATTGGCTTCTTACCTAGGTTACTTGCCAATTTTAATCTAGAGGCGTTTCCAGGACAAATTTTAACAAAAAAAAAATCTTTACTAAAGTGTTTAAAAATGTAAACATTTATTCCAAACCATATCTAATTTAAAAGTGTGATTTGATCATATATTTATATACGTGTATTTCTTAAACATTTATCAGAACTTTGAAGGGTGCGTTAGGTGTTCTTGATCTAAACTGAGTTTTTTGAGGCAAACAGTATAACATGGTTTGTTGGTTGTTGATGGCAATATTTCAAGTTCCTTGTACTGCAGATATTTCTTCTCCATTTAGTGAGACAAGGTTAACTTTGTTGTATAGGATTGGATCCTGGGATAGATCAACACTTTGGGATGTCATTTGATTAGGTAAATTATTCCCAAGTCTGAGCATGCCTAAATCTTATTTGCTTTAGAGTCGCTAACATAATGATGGTGGTGTGATAAACACAGCAGTGCTTTTATTATCACTACTCTTCTAAGACTGGTGATACCAATCATTTCTTAACCTCCAGTTTGGGAAAGAGTATGAGTGGTAAACAAGGCACTGTTGTACTACAAAAACAAAACCAGCTTCTTTCCATACTCACCACCCCTCTGAAGTTACACATGAACCCTATTAACAGTCTGGTAAGGCAGGGAGGGAAAAAGATAAATCCTCAATTATTTTAAAGGATATTTGTTTCTGTTTCATTGGAGACTCTTAACGTGTGTGTGTGTGTGAGAGAGAGAGAGACAGTCAAGTTTCTTGATTGAGTGTATCATAAATATATAAAAGGTTTGATAAATAAATCTTTAAACATAACACCAGGCTATGGTTTTTCTTCATGCACACCTTAATGCCTGACTTTTGAACGCACTTTAGGCATAATATTAATAACAATTTTTAAAAAATTAAAGTTTCAGAGTCCTCTACAATGTCTTTATGGTGGATTGATGTCTACAGAGGTTTCCAAAGTGATGTATCTTCATCCCAGTTAACCAACTGCAAGGGAGAGGAAGAATGTAATTTTCTGCCTTTCCTCCGTGGTCAGAAAACATCGGTTCCAGTTTGTGTTCTACAACCTGATGACTTGGGTGATGTTTTGTCTCTTCGAACTCCAGGAGGTGCATTTGGAAATCTGAGATAATAGCTACATTATATAGCTCAGAGGGATTACCTGAACTCACAGATGGAACCGCCGAACCCTTAATATAGCACTGGCTAAAATTCTTTGGCACTTGGAGGGCTGTGGGGGCACACTCGGAAAGCCTCGGCACCCAGACTGGGCACAGTGGCGCCCTTCGCTTCTTTTCTTAAGCCGCGGAATTTTTAGTAGCTTTCTTAAACCATGGGAGCGTTTTCCTCCAGTTCTCTCCACAGACCTCGCCAAGTCTCTCCTCCCAAGGCCTCACTCAGAGAACCATAACCGTACCCACATTTACCCCACATTCTCCCTCGCGAACCACCCGTAAGGAGGCAGGGAGGAAAGAATGGCTTGGTCTTTATAGGCCTTGCCAGCCAATGAGCGTGCTGCCTTTCTTCCGGTCGGCGAGCCGACCAATCCGAGTAAGTTGGTGTAATCTTCGGCTTCACTCGGCTCTTTTCGCTGATGCGGGCAGCGTGGGGGCCGCCGCCGCTAGCGAGACGCTTTCCTTTTTTATTTTTTTTCCATGTGTTCACTTCCGGGTCCGGCGCCGATCCGGATGCTCGAGGCAGTAGGATGTTTGACCTCCGGATAAGCGAGGCGCCGCTGTGCATTCATTCCCGGCTGCATCGGTGGCGACAGCAGCGGCCCTGGAGGCGATTCTTCGGCCAGAGGCGGCGGTAGGAGGCACCGGCAGCAGTGCAGGGACGAGTCCGAGCCGAGCTGCGTTACCTCCCTCGCTCGTTCCTTCCCCCTACCTCGCTCGCTCCCTCCCTGCGTGGCTCGCTTTCCTTCTCCGGCCGCCGGCGGGTGTGATGTGCCGCCGCCGCTGCCTCCGCCGCCGCTGACTGACCGAGCGGGGGGCGCCGCCCGCGCCGGGGACCGGGACCAACCCCGCTGCTCGCGGCCGCGCCTCTGAGAGGTAAAGCCCCCTCCGCTTTGGCGCCCGGTCGGCTCCGGCCCGGCGGCAGCCTTCGGGTGGCCGCGGCTCCCTCCTTCCCGGGTGGGGCTCGGTGGGCTGGGGTCCGGGGCTGAGCGGGGTGGGATGCGGCGGGGGCGGCCCCGCGGGCGGGGGCCTCGGGGGAGAGTGGGCGAGGACCCGGGCTGATGGCGCGGCAGCGCGGGCGGGAGGGGGCCGCGGCCGGGGGTGAGGCTCGCCGAGGGCTCGGTGGGCAGGGAGGGGGCCGCGGGCGGCGGGCCGGGCTGGCTGCAGAAGTTGCCCGAGTGGTGCCGCGCGAGTGGGGACGGGAGGGAGGTGGGCGAGCTGGGGAAAGGCTGGGGCTTCTTTGGGGAGGGGTTTTGAAGTCGGGGGTGCAGTCCCCAGCGCTCCTCGTTAGTGTCCAGACAATTACCTTCAGAGTGGGGGTTTCGGGCAGGAGGGAGGACGGTATTGGACTTCTGGAAGGAGGTGTCAGGGGCCAGCATTCATTTCAGGGGTAAACTTCCCGCTGGGGTGTTTGTTTTAAGGCGGGGGGCGGGGATTTACCTATTTGACAGAGCTTCTGACTTAGCTCAAAACTTAACCGAGGCATTAGTAGAGGGAACAAAAATTACTCTGATGGTTACGGTTAGGGTGCTGGTTTGTTTGTTTATCCCACATGCAGGGGAAGTGACATACAGAAGCGTCGGTTCTGTTGGTCCACAGCCCCCACATTTCTTTTCTGCGCGGTGGTGATGGAGATGTGTGTGTTCCCGTGGGGTGGGGGAAGTTAGGCCTGTGCTATGATCATTCCAGTTCTCCCAGGGAAGGAGGAAAAGTTAATGGGTGGGAGAGCGTGTCTGTGTGGGAGATGGCTACTGTTGCTACACTGTGTGAATTAGTTTTAACTCTGTTGTAATGAGTACCAAGGCTGGTCAGTAATTGACCCCGTTTTAACCTCTTGTTTTTAGAACAGCGACTTGAATTGGAAAATTAAAAACCTTCTGATTTTTAATAAGTTAAGAAAAGAAGTCAATATTTATTTCTTTTACTTTTGCAGTGACTTCTTGTGGTATGAATGACATCTGCCCACAGATAGTAAAAGATATTGAACTATATATAAGTTTAATATTTTTAAAATTAAAACTAATGTTTAAAGCCATGTATATATTTTTGAAGAACGTTTGCTTTCCCTATAAATAAATAAATTGTGGATGAAAACAATCACAAAAATTATAATAAGAATGATTTAGAATTAAAAAGATGTAAGGCCAGTTTAAGAAAACATTTTCCATCAAAAATCAGATCGGGTTTGTGACATTCTTCATAGCTTTTTGGGGGGAAAGAGGGGTGGAGGGATGTGCTTAGTGTATTTTATAATTATTCCCAAACTGCTTCAACTGTATTCTGAGTTAAGATAAATTATCTTCATATTTTGTATATGTTAGCATTTATAGTTGCACAAAAGATGAAAACTATATTTATGGGCATTGGGAGAAAGACATCAGCTAACTTGTATGGCTTTGACATAGATTCTTAGCAGAGTGTATAGACACTTTTGCTTTCAGGGACCTTGCATTTCTGGATATGCCTCAGGTATAAGTAGTTCTTATTAGAATGGGGGACAGGAAGATTAATTTTAATATTGATATGTATGAGACTTTTGGGGGCATCTTGGAAAATGATTATCTTTGTTGATGATTTATTGTGCTCATTGACCTCTTCTGTATTCGACTTAAAAATTAATGCATTATGTAATTATTGACATTTTCATCATTATATTTGCAAGCATTAGCTATCAACAAAACCTTCAACATATGAAAGTCATTTATTCCTTCAAATAAAAGGACTGGGATTAGAATCAAGGATAATTTAATTCAACTCGGGCCCTTACTATGTGCAAGAGACCTTTACTTTGTGGTAGGGATGGAAGAGTGGATAGAATATGAAGATGAGTGAGACCCAGTAGCTACCTTCTAGGAAAAAGCAGACTTGCACAGAAATAATTGCAACATAAGACTCCTTGTGGGCTTTATTAGATGCATGGAAGTGTGCTTTTTGTGTGTGTGTGTGTGTGTGTGTGTGTGTGTGTGTGTGAGAGAGAGA